GGCGTCAATTTTATTCCACATGACAATGTCCAAATACACCACATGCCTTAATTGTGGTCTATCTGGGCTACCCTATAATGAGAGAAATGCAGTCTGACCTCCTCATATCACACCTTGCTCTACTGCAGCTGGGGTCCCCCAGGCCATTGGACATTGGTAGTTCACTGGTAGAATCCTCGCCTTCCATGCAAGAGACCCGGGTTCAATGCCCAGCCAATGTACCCTGTGCTCAGCCACCAGCCATTTGTCAGTGGAGGCATGTATGTTGCTGTGATGCTAAACAGGTGAAGCTTCCAAACTAACATGGACTAGGAAGAAAGACCTGGTGATCGACTTCTGAAAATCAGCCAATGAAACCTTATGGATCCCAACAGTTGGATCCACATCCAATCATGAGGATAGTGCAGGATTGGGCAGCGTTTCCTTCAACTGTGCATGGGATCACTATGAGTCGGGGCCGATTTGATGACAGCTAACAACAAACCTCCAGATCAGCTCGGAGAATTCCAGGACAGATAAAGGAATCTGGAAGATTATTCGGCCCCAATCACCCCTGATGCTTCCCAGCCCTCTTTACCACCCCCAGGGCCTGATTCCCCGGCCTCTCTATGATCAACCACCCCTGCTTCTTGAGGTTTTCCTCCCGCGTCCTCCAGGACTCTGCTCTGAGGGCATTCTTCTGGACACCTCTTCTCTGCCTCCTTCACTGACCCCCTACTCTTGCTTTCCAAAGTTTTGGTCACTCCTTAGAGGTCAGACTTTATCTTTCTAACCTCTTTCTATAGTCTCCCCCTCACAGAGTTCATTCATACCCAATATCAACTAACATCTCCGTATTTGAAATAACTTCTTAATCTCTAGCCCTAAATTATTGGCCTAACTCTAGGCCTACATTTTTCTTGGATGGTTTGCATAACTCCATGACTCAAATCCAACTCACTGTCTTCCTTCCAAAATCAGCTCCTGAGCTTATATTTCCTTTTTTTTCCCCCACTAGTACGAACATTGTCTTGATAGTCCTGCCTCAAAACCACAGTCAAACTTGTTGCTTCTCTTTTTCTTTCCTGTAAGGTTGATCAATTGTCAATGGTTTTGTCCATGGCTTATCAATTGTTTTATAATAAGTTTCACCTTCCTCTCCCTTTCTTCCTTTCTCTGACCCTAAATTGGGCCCTGTTACCAAACATCTGGATGAATATAATGATCCTCTAATTGAGTGGCTCTCTTTCCATCACCCCGTCCCCATTCTATTCTGGGGGGGAAAAAATCAACTTAATCTTTTCCAAATACTGTGCTTCCTTGGTCTTGTCATTCAGTTTCTGATGACTGCCACTATCCCCCCACTGGCAGCTCTGCCTGGCATTAAGCCCTTGACATTCTCGTTGCAGCATAAATTTCCAGACAAGCTACTCTCGTCATTGTCCCCTCAACACACCTCTGTTCACACCTCTGAGACTTTGCTTCAGGGCCACCTGCAGTGCCTTCCAGAGCAGCTTCAATTCTTCAAGTCCTACCAAGGTTTCAAAGTCCAAATCCCACTCTGGGAAGTCTCCCCTCCTTCAGTCAACTTTCAGGGCTTTTGCGTTTTTACCACTCCTCTTACACTGTTATTGTTTTTGTTAGCTGCCTTCAACACCACTGACTCACTCTTGGCTACCTCACACACAATGGAAGGAAATGCCACCCACTCCTGTGCCATCCCCGTGATCAGTTGCAGATCCAACCATATACATAGGGTTTTAATTGGCTGATTTTCGGAAGTAGATCACCAGGCCTTTCTTCTTAGTCTGCCTTAGACTAGAAGCTCTGCTGAAACCTGTTTAGCATCCTAGCAACACCCAAGCCTCCACTGAGAGATGGGTGATGGCTGTGCATGAGGTGCATTGGCTGGAATAGAACCCGAGTCTCCCGCATGGAAGGCAAGAATTCCACCAGTGAACCACCGCTGCCCTTTTAGACTAGTTCTTGCATTTTTTTCATGTGTTCAAGTTTTAGCCCTCTAACTATATTAGGATGTCTTTAAGACCAAGGACCCTTTCTTAGATGAATCCTCCTATGAATCTTCCACAGTTTATACAATGACTTCCAAAAAGTAAGAGATCAGTGTTTACTGACTACAAAATTGAAGTGCAATTTGAACTTCTGTGCCCCATTAAATTGCGTAAAACAGCATCTTAAGCCTACAGGTTGTTTCTCTACACTGCAAATGGTTTGGAGATCAAATATTCTGAAAGATTACTTATCTACCTCATCTACCTAAAAACCCCTGAAAGCTCAAATACCTATAGGGATTGACAGGTAATAAAAATGTCTGAATCCACTCATGGAATCCAGACTTTCTGGAGCCATTGAGGCTAGATGAACACCCCCTATTGCCCTGAGATGATCTTTAAACCTCAAACCAAAAATATCCCCTGAAGTCTTCTTTAAACCGTACAATAGCTTAATTAGTAAAGAAAGTCTGCCTTGAAATTGTGCTCTTTTAGGATCTATAAGGGATCAAATTGTCAAATTGACAACAGCAACTCGAAAGATTAGATAGCAAACACGGGGCAGTGAATTTATATTAATGGAGAAGGAACAACTCAGAAAAGGAGGGTGAGAATGGTTGTGCAACTTGTAAGAATGTGATCAACATCACTGAATCGTAGATGTAGAAATTATTGAATTGGTGTATGTTTTGCTGTATATATTCTCAACAACAACAACAAATAAAATAAAATTTTTAAAAAAGCAATAATTGTGACCTTCTGGTGATAATACTTGAAAAGAAAAATACATATATGAAGAACAAAGTAAATTCATTTAAAGACTTATTTTCACATGTCACCGTAGCAATAAATTCTTGATTTCTACATCTAAAAAAAAAAAAGTGTGTGAATCCAGCTGGTATGACAATAGGGAATGGTAGAGTCTGGGGCAGACTCTGCATACTTGCCAAAGACATTCAAATTCAAATTATGTTAAAACACTGCTACTTCCGATCTCTGTCTTCAACACTCCACTGACTCTCCTATAAAGACCTCAGTGAGTACACAAAATACATAAAGCAGTAGAGGTGATTGGGGCTGAATATAACCTTCCAGATTCCTTTATCGGTCCCGGACTTCTGTGAGTCAATCGGAGGTTTGCTGTTGTTAGCAGCCATCCAATCGGCCCCCGACTCTTAGCGACTCCGTGCAAAGCTGAATGAATCGCTGCCCAGGCCTGTGCTAGACACTCAGGGACAGAGAGAAGCCAGATGAGAAATAACTGGCAATGTTCAGCAAAGAGCAACATGCTATGCAAACATGATCCTTTAAGATGATGATTGTTATGCAAATGAATATTTGCTAGGATTTTCAAGACATTTCCATAGAGTGTCTCTAGGTCATTGTTGTTATTCTACAGACCAGAGCGTTCTTTGAAAGCTTTGATTGCAATTTATTTGTCTCTGTGTACTAAAGCCTGACACCTAGTAAATACCGAGTGAATGTTTTAGGAAATAAGAAGAAAGACATAATTAAAACCTCTGTATGTTGCTATAACCTGTTGACCATTGCTGTCGAGTCAGTTACAATTCATAGTGACCATATAGGGCAAAGTAGAACTGCTCCGGAGGGTTTCCAAGGCAGTAATCTCTCTGGAAGCAGACTGCCACATCTTTCTCCCGAGGAGCAGCAGATGGGTTCGAACTGCCGACCTTTCAGTAACAGAAATTTCATTTCATGCACAGTTCTCAGATAGATTTCAGCAGACAGCAGAAGTGGCAAGAAATGTGTCCTCTGGGAACCAAGAGGAGCCCTGGTGGTGCAGTGGTTAAGAGCTTGGCTGCTAACCAAAATGTCGGCAGTTCAAATCCACCAGCCGCTCCTTGGAAATGCTATGGGGCAGTTCTACTCTGTCCTATAGAATCACTATGAGTCAGAATTGACTCAACAGCAGCGGTTCGTTTTTCTTTGGTTTCAGGAACCAAGAAGTGAAGCTGCCAGCACCTGCTGTGATCTTTGATCCTCTTGCAAATTTTTCTTGGAAAAGTTTTCCTCATTTTCTGATTACAAACCTCTCTTCAGAATTTATGGGAGTTTTCTTGATTTCACTAGAAAGATGTAACTTCCTAATAAAAACGCAGTTGCCATAGAGTCGACTCTAACTCATGGCAAACTCATGTGTGTGTCAGAGTAGAACTGTGCTCCATAGGCTTTTCAGTGACTGCTTTTTCACAAATTGATCACCAGGCCTTTCTTCTGAGGCACCTCTTGAATTTCCAACCTTTCGGTTAGCAGCCAAATGCATTAACCATTTGCCCCACCCAGGGACTCCAACTTCCTAATACAGTTAAATAAATTTGTATTCAGTACTTCTTATGTAAAACAATGAAAATAGGGACTAAAAGTCTACTATGGAGAGAAGTTGAGCATAAACCACTAAATATAAGGTAGACAAGAAGTATCCTGAGAGGTACAACAGGGTGGGAAACATTTGCTTGGAAGACTCAGAAGGAATCATGAAGGAGGTAGCCCTGAGTGAATCTTAAAAACTGGGTAGACTCTTACCCAGGGAGATCTTAGTGGGATTAGTGAAAGCAGTGGTCGTATTAGGAATGTATGGGATTTCAGACCAAAGATCATCAGTCACCATCATAAGTAACCCCAGAGACTCACTCTCCCCTTCTACAGGAGAAGGAGATATACTAGATGATTCTAGACCTAGATACTCCTAACTCCTTACCATTCACAATGTCTTTTTTCATATACCTTGCCCAAGGACCCACAAGCATGTCCGTTCACTGCCTGTGGTTTGGTCAAGAGACCTAGCTCTTGGAAAGCTTGATTTCTAGTTTCCACCCTCTCCCAATTTCACCATGTTGGAAGAGGATCTATCAGGGCCATTTATAGCTTTTGGATTACAGGAGCATGCTTTAGTTATTCAACAAATATAGATGAGGACCCACCATGTTCCAAGAGCTGTTTAGGGTACCACGGATATCGCAAGGAACAAAAACAGACAGAAATTCTTACCCTCATGGAGTTTAAGTTCTTGGGCAGGAGATAGCAACTAAGGAAAAAGGGAGAGAAGAAAACAATGTTCATAGAAGTAGGAACCTAGCAGTTGACCATCTCCATAAACCCTTGAGGGTTTCTCTGGGTCCTCTACTCCCTAGATAAGAACATGGCCGCTGCTAAACTTCTGATTTCAGCCACTGCCTCTGTCAGAACCTGGGCAGCAAAGATTATGCTACTCTGCATGTTGTTTTGTGTTTCTATTAATAAAATACCTAAATTATCAAAAGTCTGGCTTTAAAGATATATAAAACCACCAAAAACCAGTTGCCACTGAGTGGATTCTAGCTTATGGCAACCCCAAGTGTGCGGAGTACAACTGCTCCAAGGGGTTTACCAGGCTGTGGCCTTTTGGAAGCAGATCACCAGGCCTTTCTTCCGAGGTGCAGCTGGGTGGGTTCAAACCGCCAACCTTTCAGTTAGTAGCCAAGCACTTAACCATTTGCATCACCCAGGGCTTCCTATAGATACATGTACACATATGCATACACATATTCGTAAGTTAAAGTTGTTTTTTTTTTTTTAATAATATATATTATCTCCATGATGTCATTTCACTCACTTTCTAAAATGCCTTTTAAAGGAAAGGAATAAAAGGAGATTTCAGCTAAAATAAGGGAGATCTTACATATCTTTACCTTAAACCCTGGTGAGTAACTGTTACTGATATCCTGGTCATAGTTGCGGTCGTTACAAATGATCCTGTTTTAATATCTCAAAGAAGTAAAAACATTCATGGTTCATCAAAATCTGGATATCTAATGTATATGAACATTACCTGTTGTCTTAGTCATCTAGTGCTGCTATAATAGAAATACCACAAGTGGATGGCTTTAACAAAGAGAAGTTTATTCTCTCACAGTCTAGTAGGCTACAAGTCCAAATTCAGGGCATCAGCTTCAGGAGAAGGCTTTCTCTGTCAGCTCTGGAGGAACATTTTTGTCATCAGTCTTCCCTTGGTCTAGCAGCATCTCAGCGCAGGAACCTCAGGTCCAAAGGCCATGCTCTATTCCTGGCACTGCTTTCTTGGTAGTCTGACATCCCCATGTCTCTCTGCTTGCTTCTCTCTTTTATATCTCAAAAGAGATTGGCTTAAGACACTATCTAATCTTGTAAACCTCATTAATATAACTGCTACTAATCCATTTTATTACATCATAGTGATAGCATTTACAACACATAGGGAAATCACATCAGATGATAAAACAGTAGACAATACTAGGAATCATGATCTAGCCAAGTTGACAGATATTTTGGGGGGACACAATTCAATCCATTACACCTGTCATGCTGAAACAAAATGGCTAAGATTGGCTGTTGAGGGCCAGTGATTGCATACATGGTACATGGAAGGGGCCTTGGGAGTCATTTAGTTCACCCTTCTTCTCTTGTAGAGAGGAGAGAGCAAGTCTCTGAGCAAGGACTGGAACTCACGTCCCCTGATGCCTGCTCCGGAGCTCTTTCTACAAAGCAAGGCAGTAACCTGAGCAGGGCTTTCCACAGATCTTGAAAGAGTAGCTCGGTCTTCTTCTCACTCTCAAGCCTGAGCATCTTCCAACTGAAAGAAAGTTCCTGGCTCCTGGAGCCACCAGAAAATGTTCTCAGATCTTAGATCCTAAGCCACTCTGCTCAGTTTCAGACTGAGAACCTTCTCTCTCAGAAAACGTGGTTCTCCTAAGGAACCCAGAAGAAGCACCGAGTCTTATTCAGATTGAGTGGATTTTGAGAGAGGCTGGTGAGAGTCTTGAGATACCTGCAGAAACATTCCACTGGCTGAGAACCTTGTAAAGGAATCTCACTGTTGAAAAGAGATCATTTTCCACCACTTGCGGAGAATCTTGCTTCAACACGCACCCTTTGCTTAAACAATTCCAGGAATGGTGACTCCCTCACCTGATTAGCAGCCAACTTCTTTGTGAGTGGCTTTAAAGGATGGAAAGTTCTTATGTCAGGCCAAAATTAACAACCAAATTAAGGTTTCTGTTTTCTCTGATAGAGGAAGAAGCCGACTGGGAGCCAGTAATGTCAGATTCCTGAGTGTGATCCTAAATTGTTAAGCATGTAACCATACATTTCTTTGTCCATTCAGCAAACACTTATGAGAACCTGTTGTTGGGTGCCACTGAGTCTGTTCCGTCTCACAGCGAGCCTATGTACAACAGAACAAAACACTGCCTGGTCCTGCACCTTCCTCACAATCATTGGCTATGCTTGAGCCCATTGTTGCAGCCACTGTGTCAGTCCATCTCATTGAGAGTCTTGCTCTTTTTTGCTGGCCCTCTACTTTACCAAGCATGATGTCCTTCTCCAGGGACTGCTCCCTCCTGATAACATATCCAAAGCATGTAAGACGAAGTCTCGCCATCCTTCCTTCTAAGGAGCATTCTGGTTGTACTTCTTCCAAGACAGATTTGTTCATTCTTCTGGCAGTCCATGGTATATTCAGTAT